TCGCTGTAAAAATGGCCAAGGTTACTTCAGGTCACAGACATTAGCAATGGATGTCCGATTCCAACATCCACCTAATCACGTGACACAACCGTCATATTGAAGAAGTACCAGTATCACCCAGGCTGGCGACCATGGAGGCGAACTCAAACCCAGCGGTGAGTTTAATGCTTTCATATTTCTGTAGTATATTTTATTTTGCGCATGAAGTTTGATACATTATCTTAAAGCCTGATTTAAAACACTGGTTTGGGCCGTTGTTAATCTTACACCGTGTAGTGCCGGCATATTACTTCTCGCTACCTCCGAGCACCCCCCCCCCCCCCCCACCCACCCGATTTCCCCCGTTTTATTTCAAAAAGAAATACCACTTCTCCAGGCAGTCTTAGTAAAGTCGTAATTTTTCAGGAGATGCTACCGCTAATGTAGTAAGCTAATATGGCTGCCTTGTGTGCTTCAAAGAGGGGCTGTGAACAGTTCCGGCTCCACTCTGATCAGCTACTGTATTGTTAGGTGACTTCATTTATGAATTAATTAAGAAATTCTTTGTCATTACAACATCATTCAAAATACCAGTTACCTACCAAATTGTAGATTTATTTGTGCTTGATATAGTTTCTACAATTTTAATGGGAGAAGAGCACAGTAGGCATCGACTGCCTGTCTCAGTCTCACCTAAGACAACATACAAACAACCCAGAAAGTCACCACCCATCAGTTCTCTTTAAAGATTCTAGACTTTCTAGGCGCAAGTGGTATTTCTTTTTGAAATAAAACGGGGGAAATTGGGTGGGGGGAGGGGGGTAATATGCCGGCACTACACGGTGTAAGATTAACAACGGCCCAAACCAGTGTTTTAAATCAGGCTTTAAGATAATGTATCAAACTTCATGCGCAAAATAAAATATACTACAGAAATATGAAAGCATTAAACTCACCGCTGGGTTTGAGTTCGCCTCCATGGTCGCCAGCCTGGGTGATACTGGTACTTCTTCAATATGACGGTTGTGTCACGTGATTAGGTGGATGTTGGAATCGGACATCCATTGCTAATGTCTGTGACCTGAAGTAACCTTGGCCATTTTTACAGCGAATTTTTAGACGCTGAATTTGAGACAGTGAATTTGAGCAAGTTGAATTGGAGGACAACGAAAATATTGCATTTGAATTTTGAAAAGTTGAATTTTTTATATGCTGAATTTTTTAACACTGAAAATTTAAACTGTGAAAAATATGTATATTGAAATTTTTATCACTTTGAAATAGGAATGTGAATTCTTTTAATAACTGAAAATTGCAACCATGTGAAAAAAAAATACACTGAATTTTTTTTTAATGTACAAATAATGACATTGAATTTTTTTTAGGTTAAAAATATATTCTGAATTTATTTTAATACTGAAAAAGTAAGCACTAATATACAACATTCAAATTTCAGAGGTATTTTCTATTCAAATTCTGATGGCACATATTTACTTCCATATCCTTTCCCCTCCCTCGTTGTCTCCTCACACCTGCTCCTTGTCTGCTCGTTAGCCCTGCCTTTGTCTCAGTCAGCTATATATACTCTCCCTCTGCTTTCACTCCTTGATGGTTCCTTGTTGTTGCTGGTTCCTCGTTGCTGTTGTCTTCTCGCCTCGTCTCTCCCTGGCTCCTTGTGCTTTTTTCCCCCTGATGTCTCCATTGTTCTGCTCTGTGTAACATTTAAGTTGGATTTTTGGATTTTGCCCCCTATTGTTTGTGTTACCATTAAAACTACAAGAATATCACCTCAGCCTCTGCATTTGGGTCCTTTAAACCACAACCAAGACGTGACAGAAGGAACCAACCAAAACATGGACCCCGCAGAGGCAAACCCAATAAGAAACTTCCTTTCTCTCTTAATATCCACATTGGACAGCCTACCTCTCATCAGCCCACCTTGGAAGCGGGTGAGTGCAGCTAAGTTAGTAAAGGAGAAACTGGAGAAGTTTCCTGACTTCCATGACTTTTTCCTAAAGACTGGTTACATTGCTTTAGCAGAGTGGAATATACAGGATGCCTTTTCTCAGATTTTTAATAGACCTCCACCGCCCAAACCATCACTCCATGACATTCCCACGCAGTCTATAACCTCTGATCCTGTACCACCACCATCTCCAGCTGTTGGACCTTCCCTCCCATCTGCTTCTTCCAGGCATAGGAGCCTCCGCCGGGGAAAAAAGGCCACTCCCTCTCCGGCGGGTCAGCCTGACGCCTCCAGTCCCATGGGTCAGCTAGCTGCTAGCCTTCAGAAGAATTCACCTCAGCCTCTCTGCTTCTGCATTTTGGTCCTCTAAACCACGGCCAAGACGTGACAAGCAGAGAGATCTCCCCACAGATAAAACATCTCAGACAGCTGCAAAAAGCTCTTTCTTATTGATAAAGCTCATAGTGAGATTGGCTTAGGTTATCCTCAGGTCATACTGCTATAGCCTTTGGCTGCTGGAAGACATGATAACCTCTTTCCCAGTTAGAGCTTCTTAGTTTTTGAGTTTTCCTGAACCAAGACATTTTAGTGAAGGGAGGTTATATGTTTTTTCCATTAGATACAAAACATAGCTGAACAATAGAGGTTAGCTCTTTTCCTTTGCTTTATGCTAACATTCTGAATTAAATAATTCAATGCAAATTTTAAACTAAATCTCTGAAATTATCAAAATAGATTTACAGTCAATTTTTTCTTGATTAATAGCAGCTACACAGTCTAAACTGTTTCCTTAAACGTTTACTTGATGCTTCCGTTTGTGGTCCCAACATCAGCAGAGGCCCAGAACCAACAGTCATACACCTTTGGAAGAGTCTCTAGTTCAGGTTAGATCTGGTTCAGACGGAAACGTTTTCCCCTCCTGCAGATACATACCCAGAGGAGGGAGGAAGAATAACACGTGTTACTGGAAGTAATGACTTATGACAGACTAAGAATAACATGACTTTTTAATGATGAATCAGTAATAAATACGGATCCTTTGCCCCCCCCACCCTCCGCCCAACCATTAAACAGTAAATCATCTTGATGTGCAGCAGATGAGCGACTCCCCAGAGGAGGTTTCCTGTTGCAGCTCCAGGGATGTTTACGTTTTGCCTAAAGCTGGAAAAATGCGTAACTTTTCCTCTTATTCACCTCCTAGCAACTCTTCACCTCTCTCACTGTGATGAAATCATCCCATTTTTCTCAGCTCAGTTGCAGGTTGTGTTTCATAAAAGATCCAGGTCCATTCAGGCCCCGCCTTGAATTCCCAGCATGCCTAGCAGCAGCAGGATCTTCAGTTGCGTTTGTCCTGCAGCCGCAACAGGAAGTAGGTGGACGCCCTGCCTGTTGCTGATCATGTTTCGGGCGTCCTGCAGTGCACTGACCGCGGCTCTACTGGAGTTCAGGTCTCCACTGGAGATCAGGTCAAACACGCATGCGTGATAGTAGATGTCTTGAGTAGGAAGGAGCGCAGCACAATGAGCCTCCGCTCTAATAGCGGCTGCTGCTAGAGAATCCAGCGCTGGGGGGTGGAGGGTGTTCACCCTCTGGGAGGCGGGGCAGCCCCACATGCAGAGCTGCAGGTCGTGATCTGGGTCGAAGGCCTCCACGATGCCGCGGGGCGAGCGGATCGACAGGCTGAGTGAACGGCCACTGTGTCGGATCACCATCAGCGTGCCGATGTAAGCTGCTTGGATCTCGGCGTGCCACCCGGGACTGTCGGTTCTCACCGTCAGGATGCGGACACCGCGGCGCTCAGCGCTCCACACTGAGCCGTCTGCGAAAGCAGCGGGAACGTTGTCCAGCTCTGCCTGGTACAGCTGCTGGTCGGTGCACTGACGCCAGCTCTTAAAGATGACGGTAATCTGCATGGAGACAGAACCACAGAGGAACCAGATGAATCATGGATGGAAGAGACAGAAATAAAACAAACTCAGTCAGAATTCAACTCAGCTTTAGTTTGGTTGACCTTACTGTCCAGGTGCTTCTCTGTAAAGCATGATTTTGTTCCTGGATTGATGACATTAGTCTGTCTTGCTATCAACACCACATCTCTAACAACCAGAGACTCACAAGCAGGCAGCCTAATGAATAGAGACTATAAAACACGCTAAACCAACCACAGCTAATAGCTTCTAATGCTAATGCTACATCTACATGAATGTGCTACACATGGGTCACACGATCATGCTTGATATCATGGATGGATGGATGGATGGATCTACTAGTTAAATATCTAAATGAACTGTTGCTCCCATTAAAGGATTCTTAGGCTTCATTCCCTTTAGAAACGGTAACCGATAGAACTGATGAGTGTAAATAGAACACATCTGAACCGGACCGTGCCAGAAACAACCAGACCTCGCTACATCTAGTACCAGTTCATCTACGCCTCGATTATCTGCTAACAAATGAGCAGACCATCATCTCCTATTTACAGTCAGCTGACTCATTTTCTACCATGTCCGGCTTTGATCTCTTCACCTTTTCGTAACAAAAACTCCTTCTCAGCTTATCAACAATAAATGGCATCAAAAGAGCGTAGTGCGACCTGGGCTGATGGCGAGACCGAGGCTCTCATTGAAATTTGGGTGGAGGACGCTATGCAGGCACATAAGCTCCTGCATGTCATGAACGCGCCGCCATTTTTGTTTGAGTAATTCCCGCCTTGAGAGCTGCAGCATAGTGGATAGCAGTGAGGAACCGTTCTAGCATGACTAAACTAAACAAGTTAATATAGGTAGCTAGGTAACAGATTTAACCCCCCAGACCGTATCGTCTGCAGCTAATGATGTATACAACTGCATGAAAAAAATCCCTAAGAGTTAGAGCAACATTTAATTTTCCTTTGGGATCAATAACACATTTTTGAAGTGAATTCATGATGTGTATCAGTAAGTTTTTACACATTGTTTTTTTTTAATCTTCTATAACAACAGAGTTGTAGAGGAGTGACCAACTGGCTGGGATCTTTTAAGGACGAGTTTAGCATTTTTTCTACTAATAGGACTAATGCTTCTGCCATTTGTCCAAAAGTCTCACTTGGTGGTTTATTAATATAACTGCAGTATAAAAGTCCATAGAATGTTGAGCCAGACTGACGAAATGTATAACTAGTGCATTGTAGCTGTGAACTATGGGCAGATATGATGCTGTGAATCAAAGATATTGAATAAATAGAAACGCAGCTTGCCATAGAGCTGTGATTCCTCTTCACAGGCTGTTTCTGGGGGGGTTGATGCACCGAGCACAATGCATCCCCCCCTCAGGTAGCAGAACTAGAGCTAAACTTTAGCTCACCTTAGTGATGACTGTAGAGAACATCCCATCCTTAGCTGGCAAGCTGGTGACCTGTACATACAGGTAGTCATTGTCTATGAGAGGCCACGCCCCCGACACAGCACACGTCTGGAAGTCATTATTAAATGTTCGAATATGTGGATCTCCGAAGATACTGCAGTACAGGTACTCTGGCATCTGGCCCTCCCTGCGGAAGTGGTTCTTCTCATAGAGGCAGGTGTCTCCGGACACCGTGCCCTGTGCCTGGGGCCGAGGCTGGGCTGTTGGCCCCGCTCGGGGGCAGCGGTGCTGGATGAGCAGGTCCTCAATACCCTGAACTGCAGAGTGGTAAGCTAGGTCTCCTCGACATGGTCGCGCCATCCTCTTGGTGCACATGCTGTAGGAGCGCAGGGCACTGCAGTAGGCTGAGTTTGCTGAGTCCTTGCCAAGAGCTTCTGCACCGCTGCTGCTCAGGTGGACCGTTGCAGCAACAAACTCAGAGTTGCAGCGAAGGATCCGACAGGAAGCTCCAGCTGAGGAGACAGTTTTATTTGATCAAACTAAATAAGTAGAACATGTTTTAATAGCAGCTTTAAAGCCTCACCACAGATTCAGTTGCCAACACAGAAGAGCGCCCTCCTCTGGACAAGACCAGGGGCGGAGCAAGATGGGGGGCCAGGGGTGGCCATGGCCACCCTAAGCCCATCACTGGCCACCCCTGTGGCCACCCCTCTAATACAGACGGTGGCAACAGTAATAGTCAAGACGAATATTCAAACCATTTTAATTTTCATATATTAAAATTTACTTGACAACAAACATACAGTGTTCCACTGTTCAATTCTATTCAGTTTATTTCTATAGCTTCAATTCACATCATGTCATCTCAGGTCACTTTCCAGTTCACCAGATCATCCAGTCAGATTGATTCAAAGAGTTTGGGCGTAGCTGAGTGCCTGGGTGGGGGTGTGTACCTTCAGGTAAGCTCAGCTGAACCAGCAGCAGGGTCAGTTGGATGCAGTGTTTCCATGGTAACAGCGTGACCCGTATCTCCATCAGTGGTGAGCAGCAGTCTGAAAGGAGACAGAAAGGTTCACATCCAGGAACATCACTGCCCCCCCCGGCCTATCATTGGTGGATCTATGTGATTATTAGGAACTGCTGGTCTGTTTACAGTGAGCTCATCATCCTCTGAATTAACTGAAGCTCCTCAGATGATTCCATCCATGATGGAGGCCTCTGCTTCCTCTGAACTCATCAGATGTTCTCTAACAGGAAGGAGAAGCATCTCAAGAGACGGACAGTCAGGAGATCAGTGACTCCATCTTTGTTCACCAGAGATGGACTCCTGAATAGTTCTCGTCAGGATCTTTATCACCTAGCTTGTTTCTATAGAGATTCTATCATAGAATGGCAACCCGGGGCTGTTTGAATGTGTGGCCGATAGACGCTCTTTGTGACAAAACGTAGATTTTTAACTGTGACAGTTTTATGAATGATGCTGTGGGCTGCCCCTCCTCACCATAGCAACCGTTCACTTCCTGACTTTACTCTCCAGGTTAATCCATCAGGATTTACGATATTCTTCAGATTATCCTAAATCCATGAGGAGTGGAAAGCTGCAGCAGATCAGTGATCTCCATGAGTTCCAGGATTTTTTTTCCTTTATGTTTTTTTTTTTTTAGAAAACATGTAAATAGAAACGGATGAACGGGTCCCCCCCTTTGGAATGGGGGTCGTTTGGCTTCTTTGTTAGCCTGCAATGCTCCATACCTGTCTATGCCTCTGAAAGGGGGGGCGTTAGAGGGAATAGTTGGCCTGGATGAACAGGGGAGGTCTTCTGTTCTGCTGTAAAGAGGTTGGAGCTGCGATGATAGCGGGAAGGAATCAACTCTATCGCTGCATTGAAGGTTTTTGAAACCTGGAATCTGAGCCCCCCACCCCGTTTAAGGTTGGTTTTTCTTTCTTAACGTAGATGTTTTCCTTCACGCCCCTCTATAACCACCTTCTTTGTCCAAAGTGTGACATTTCTGGTCCTTTGTTCATACAGAACATTCGTTCTCTGCGGTCGTTCACATTCCCAATTAAATGCGATTTCTAAAACTAATACGTTTGCTGTGATTTTATGAATTTAGCGTTAATCAGTAAAAAAATTAAACCATAAATTTCATGGCGATCACTGAGTCTGGGAGCGGCCATTTTGCTCAAATATAGTAACCCCTCCCTTCTGCCAGCAGTGACGTCACGGTGCGGTTAGCCTGAGCTCGCTTCTCAAGAAGATACTTTCCTCGCTGATTTGTAAAATAAGACGTTGGCTGTGATTGAGATAAAAGTGACAGAGAAGAACGTCACAGTAACGCTATAAAAACAGGGGCGCTGCCCAGAATTTGGGGTCCCATGAAAGACACTGATATTGGGCCTCACCAAGAAAAAATGTATGTAAGCTTTTAAACTGCTGTAGAGATGCATTGATGTGTTTCATTCATTATCACTATTTAAAATGACGCATGTGTGGCGCTTTAGCCCCGGTACGAGCAAACTGCCGGCGACAGACGGGGAGAAATGCTGCGATGCAGGAGAGGTCAATATATTCATGCTTGGTTTTGCTGTTTACTGCTTTAAAATCAGGCAGAACACAAAAAGTATTTATTTCACTTTGGGATTTTCTTTTTAAATTTGGAAAGTATAGTGGGACAAATCTTTTTTTCTTCTTTTGGGGCCCCCCCTCACTCAAGGGCCCCTAGAATCTTCCTAACTCCCCCCCCATACGGCGCCCCTGACTATAAATGTTGTATCTTTATTCCCAACATGTTCTGCAGGATTGTTTACAGTGATGTCTCCACAGAGGGGGGGGGGTCGATGTATTTTTAGTTTTGCACCTTTTGCAAAATTTCAAAGAGCAAATGCTGTAAAAATGTAAAAACAGACACATTCAAACTGAATTCCACTAAAAACGGTAAAGTTTAACTAAGTGTGTGAAAATGAAGTGCTGCCTTCGGTATTTTCAGTTGGTGTCATAAAATTCTAACTTTCTCAGCATTAGAAATCGTTTCCAGGATAAACGGTGGAATTAGAAACCAGTCAAAGCTGTCTGGCTTCATCTGCTGACGGACTGACTGACTGAATACTTCCTTCAGAGGAAGCAGCAGGTTTGTTCTGGTTGCTCGTAACTGTTGTGAAAATGTTGATAGTGATGTGAGAGACGCATCAACATCTGAACCTTCAAAATGAGCTTCCTGCTGTGTCTGAGCTGATGAACCTTTGCTTCTCTTCAGGTGTTCAGGTTCAGTGACGCTCTCCGCCTGCTGGACGGGAGGACATGTTTGTTCTGGGATCTTTGGAGGCGTTCGGCTCTCTGTGTTGAAACATGGACTTTTGTCTGTTTGCCTGTTGCCTTTATTTCTAACAAACCAAACATCAGCGTGCAGGGGGCGGGGCTTAGAGTGATGCTCTGCTGCCATTGGTTAAACACTCTGAAGTTCATCTGACCACAGAGGAACCTCCATCAGATATCCGTCTGTATTTGTAATTATTGATGAATTTCTCAGCAGAGCAGCTGAAAGATAAGATGTTTGATTTTTAAGGTTTAAATGTTTCTGAAACCAGAAACAAATCATTTGGATGAAGCTCCTCGTTTTCAGCTCTAATTGAGATTAATCAGTAAATTAAATCCTGCAGCTTGGTCCCTCTGCAGAAATAGGAAACATACGGCGTCTCACTGTTTCAGACTCTATAAGAAACAAACCTTTATCTATTTAATATTATGGAATTATTACAGAAAGATCCAACTACAGATGATGATGTTAGAAAGAGCCTCAGTGAGGATGAGTATTACTGAATCTGAGGAACACATGGAGGTTCTAAGCACGTTCTGTCCTGCAGGAAACTTTTACCTCCAAACCTTCAGTGTTTGTTTTACCTCCAGCCGATCGTGGATCAGAGTCCTTCCATCAGCTCCGGTGGTTTGGAGGAACGTTCAGCCAGAGGAAAACGCAGCAACCTTCTCGTCTGGACGGGTGGTGGGATCTGCAGGTCCTTCAGGTCCCAGCAGGTCCTGCCTGAGCCTCGTGTTGCTTCACAGCTGACTGCGAGGTTTGGACGTCTAAATAAATCCTCAACCACCACCTGCTGCCCGACAACTGTCCCCCCCCACCCCACACACACACAGACTCTCTGCAGCAGTTGGTTTCTATTTCTGACCTCCAGGGAGCTTAACTCTGTCTGGAGCTCACACTTTTTATGAAGTTTTACTTCCTGATCAACTTTATGTTTAAGGTTTATTTATAAAGTGTTTTAACAGCAACCAAAGTGCTGAACATCAAAGATAAAAAACAGAGAGAACTTACAATGTGTTTATAAGCTAAACATTTAACAACAACGTATAAAATCACATCAATAAATAGATCAAATCAGTAATAATGGAGAGAAATTAAGTAAAAAATAAGTAAAATTGTGTTAAAAGCTGATGTGTAAAGATACGTTTTTAGGGCCTGTCTAATGTGCTGAGTGCTGCATGATGCACTGAAAAAAATATGCAACCATTTTCAGCATTTAATTAAACACATTTAGTTACTTTAAGACAATAGTTTCATGTTAGCAGGGTTGGACATAAAACAATATGATTAAGAAAAATCTGGATGCATTATTTTTTCAGTGTAGGGGCCTCGATAGAGAGGGCCCCGTCCCCTCTAAGGTTCCTGGTCAGCAGACCTGGGTTAGTGCGCAGTAACATAACTCTTATGAAAGGAGGATGATTTTGTTTTATTACAATGTTTAAGGCTAAAAAAGATAAATGTAGCTCAGAAAAGGCAGTGGGGCTTATTTTAGCTTAAAAAGCAGCAGTTTTAATATATTTTATAGATTTTTATGTTATTAAAGGTGTAAAAATTCTACATTTTGATATATACAATGATTGTGAAAATAGTGAAAAAGAATTGCTTCATAAATGTTTTGTGGCCATCAAAATGTTTTAGTGTTATTCTCCTTATCAAATAGGAAAGCAAAGTGAAAACATTTGGAACAATTTGGAGATTTTTGGAGACGCTGGTTCAAAGCCCTGCAGCTCTGGATCTAATGTAGCCAGAGGTCTGAAATCTTCTGGATTTATGGTTGACATGATGTAGAACAAATATAATACAATGAGAATTGCCTTTTCTCATGCACGTCTTTATCACTTCTGTTCAAAAAAGACCCCGATCATTTTCGAGAATTAAAAACAACTTTTAGTCATTTTGAACTGAGGGACGGAGGAACTATTGGAGGGGAGGAACTACTGGAGGAGGGGGGGGGGACGGAGGATCTTCCGGGGGGGGGGGGGGGGATGGGGGGTTGCTGGAGGAACTATTGAAAGAGAGAAACTTTGATCAAACTGATTTGGTTCTTACTAAGGAGATCTCTTCCTCGGTGCAGGAGGTGAACCAGGATTTCATTTCAGCAGTAAGGAGGTGAAGGGGGGGGGGGGGGGGGGGGTGCTGCTCTGTTTATAGAATCCTGTTCTACTATCTGGTTGGCGGTGTTGATGCAGATCTATTAGTAAAAGTCTGGACATGTAGAGAGGAATCAGCGATAGAAACGGTTGAGTCTCTCCATCACAGGATGATGGACAGAAGCTGCTTCTGCTGATAGTAGTTAAATATTTATCAGCTATATATTTAGTTGGTGAAATATTTGATTTAGAAATATATATTTACTTTGTGAAATGAGAAATTAATCTACAACTATGAAACAAAGTGGTTCAGTTTGTGTTCACCAATTATTTATTCACTTGTTTTTTTATCTATAAGCTTAAATTTAAACATAATTTTGCAGCTTTGCTTCACTTCCCGTTTGTTTGATGTTTGCTTTCAGTTGCCGTTTCCATTTATTTATATGTTTAGCTTAAAGATGCTACTTCTGGACTATTGGTTGAACTTTTTTATTTAGTTTCAAAGTATAATAGTATTTATTTTATTTACTCACCGAGTAATACTTTGTTTTTCTTTAAAGTAACTTTTTATGTTGTTATCTTGTATCACATTGTTTATTTTGCAGACTCTTTCATTATGTAGATGAGTTTGTAAATTAGATGAATAATTATATTCATGTTTATGTTTTTTTTTACCTGTTTAATTGTGGCTCGGTCCGATCGAGTGCAGGTGAGGCTAATTGGCGACACAAACGTGGATTTCAGGGAGGCTCAGAGAAAGAGGCGAAATAAAAGAGGAATCTGGAACCGGTGGCTGATGCTGGTTGCTGATCCTTCACCATATTACCTCAGAAACTAAAACTAAAGTTTAAAAGCTAATTATTACTTTAAAAACATATATATATTTAATTTGCAAACTTTTGGATAGAAACTCAAATTTTTAATCGAAAGATAAATATTTAATTTGCTAACTAAATATTCAATTAACAAGTTTGAAAAATTACATTTTTTAATTAGCAAATTAAAAAAAATGATAGTTAATAATGCATGAATGATTATATGACTTTGAAATATTAAAACTATTTCTTCATTATATTCGAGTCAATTATAATTGACCCAAAACTGCCTCTACTATTTAATTTGGTAACTTTATAAATGACTCCATATCTGTGGTGTTTCTGTGGGATCTTATTTTAATTTGTGTTTTTTTCTATGATACCGGGTAACTATTTAGACTGGAGAGAAAAAGGTGAGCTTTAGATCTGCTGGATTTATCTGCAGTTAAACTTGTCATATTTACCTCCTTGAACCCCAGTGGGCCTCAGCAGATGGCCGCTCACACTGAGCCTGGTTCTGCTGGAGGTTTCTTCCTGTTCAAAGGGAGTTTTTCCTCTCCACTGTCGCTACAAGCATGCTTAGTGTGAGGGATTGCTGAAGAGTCAATGAGTCGATGCAATCAGCTGGTTTTCCTTAGATAGAAAACTTTGAATCAATCTGACTGGATGATCTGGTGAACTGGAAAGTGACCTGAGATGACATGATGTGAATTGGAGCCATAGAAATAAACTGAATAGAATTGAATTCACACCCTATTAAACAATAATTGCTGATCACTGAGGGGGATGGGGAACTTTAAAGGTGTTATGTAATACCTCAGAACAGGCAGCAGAGGGCAGCAAAGAAACGCCATCAGGCGATCTTCCACCTGCAGCTGGAATTCTTCTGCAGGTGAAGCAGCTCCAGCTGTTTTCATCTCAAATCTTTAGCTTTAGTTTTTTTATTTGTTTTCATAAAGTTTGCATATTAGAAACGCCGGTCGGCCCTGCAGAGCTGAACAGGTTAATGTCCCTTAGACCGGGGCCCCTCCACGCCTCAGTGAGCAGCTCTCGGGGTCTTTGTTGGTGTTCAGAGGTGGGAGGAGGCAGAGGAAGATAAAACCAGGATGAAGGTCTGAGAGCCTCTGCAGATGGCTGGAGGGACAGAGGGACGCGGCTGCAGGACGGAGGTGAGGATTTCATCCTGTTCTATGTTCAGATTTTCTATATAATAAATCTGGAGACATTTGTAGTTTTTTAAAGTTTTCCTTTTTGAAATTAGTAAAAAGGAAAAGAAGATTTAGACCAAATCTGAACACTTCGGGTCAGCTGGTCTGAGGAGGAAATATAAAAGATTTATTACTCGCACAACTAACAAAAATTAAATTAATTAAAATATAGTTTTTCTATTAAAGCTGAGAGCAGAACAAAAATATTGTTTTTTTTTATAAATTTTTCTGCTTAGTAACAAAAAAATTATCAATATCTAAAATAAACGTCTGCAGCAGAAGGTTGTTTTTTTTAAATCAAAGTCAGGATAAAAATCCATGAATTAATGTAAACATAATCTAATCTGTTAAATGGATCTGAGCCTGATTCATTTATGAAACTAAATTTTTGAAATTTGGACATTTTCCAGCAGATTTTCTGCATGGCTGGTTCTGCATGGCTGGTTCTGCATGGCTGGTTCTGCATGGCTGGTTCTGCATGGCTGGTTCTGCATGGCTGGTTCTGCATGGTTGGTTCTGCATGGCTGGTTCTGCATGGTTGGTTCTGCATGGCTGGTTCTGCATGGCTGGTTCTGCATGGTTGGTTCTGCATGGCTGGTTCTGCATGGTTGGTTCTGCATGGCTGGTTCTGCATGGCTGGTTCTGCATGGCTGGTTCTGCATGGCTGGTTCTGCATGGCTGCTTCTGCATGGCTGGTTCTGCATGGTTGGTTCTGCATGGCTGCTTCTGCATGGCTGGTTCTGCATGGTTGGTTCTGCATGGCTGGTTCTGCATGGCTGGTTCTGCATGGTTGGTTCTGCATGGCTGCTTCTGCATGGCTGGTTCTGCATGGCTGCTTCTGCATGGCTGGTTCTGCATGGTTGGTTCTGCATGGCTGGTTCTGCATGGCTGGTTCTGCATGGTTGGTTCTGCATGGCTGGTTCTGCATGGTTGGTTCTGCATGGCTGCTTCTGCATGGCTGCTTCTGCATGGCTGCTTCTGCATGGCTGGTTCTGCATGGCTGGTTCTGCATGGCTGGTTCTGCATGGTTGGTTCTGCATGGCTGGTTCTGCATGGTTGGTTCTGCATGGCTGGTTCTGCATGGCTGGTTCTGCATGGTTGGTTCTGCATGGCTGGTTCTGCATGGTTGGTTCTGCATGGCTGCTTCTGCATGGCTGCTTCTGCATGGCTGGTTCTGCATGGCTGGTTCTGCATGGCTGGTTCTGCATGGCTGGTTCTGCATGGTTGGTTCTGCATGGTTGGTTCTGCATGGCTGGTTCTGCATGGCTGGTTCTGCATGGCTGGTTCTGCATGGCTGGTTCTGCATGGTTGGTTCTGCATGGCTGGTTCTGCATGGCTGGTTCTGCATGGTTGGTTCTGCATGGTTGGTTCTGCATGGCTGCTTCTGCATGGCTGCTTCTGCATGGCTGGTTCTGCATGGCTGGTTCTGCATGGCTGGTTCTGCATGGCTGGTTCTGCATGGCTGGTTCTGCATGGTTGGTTCTGCATGGCTGGTTCTGCATGGCTGGTTCTGCATGGCTGGTTCTGCATGGCTGGTTCTGCATGGTTGGTTCTGCATGGCTGGTTCTGCATGGTTGGTTCTGCATGGCTGGTTCTGCATGGCTGCTTCTGCATGGCTGGTTCTGCATGGCTGGTTCTGCATGGCTGGTTCTGTATGGTGAAGCGGAGCAGAAAGCAGAACCTTTTACTGGGTTTGGATCCGGCCTCGTTTTCCACTGCTGCATCCTTGGATTAAACTCTCTTAGTTTGGGATTATTGTTCTTCTAAATCCTGGAGCTTTTTTCTGAAAGCAGAAAGTTTGATAAATTGGTTTAATGTCGATGATGCACCTCTGAAACGTGATTTAAGATTCCCATGAAGCGTCTCAGAACCTAAAGCTGCTTTACTGGGTTCCACCTTCCAGGTTGTAAAGCTTGAGTTTATAAACTGAGTGGAAGGTTTAACTGTTTAATCTGAAGTCACTGATCATCCAGGATTATAATCTGAGCTCATCAGACTGAATGAATGGGTCTGCAGAACACGGTGAGGTTCTGAGGAGGTTCTGGTAGCAGAAGGTCACCTGTTCATGTTTAGAATAGAGAAGGTCCAGTCCAGTTTGAAGTTCTGGTTCTGGTCCAGTCTGATCTGGACTTTGTTTCAGGATGCTGGTTCTGTTTTCTCCCGGGGGCGGGCAGGTCCGGGATGCGGTGCACTGTTGTCATGTCCCCTCCCTCCAATATTGCACTCGTCCCGGCCTCCCCGGCCCAGGGGTCGCGGCCCGGCGCCGTCGTCCTGGAGGACAGGAGACAGCAGGTGTTGCTGAAGGACAGGATCCGCAGACGGTCAGTCTTCTTCTCCTCGTCTGTCAGAATTTTAAACCTTCTCAGATTCTAATTTATTTGGAAAGAAAGTTTCTCCTACCAGCATGTTGCCTTTTTTAACACGTTGAACGTTTGGCTTTAGGAAAAGTTAAAACTCAGCGATGGGATTCGCCGTCTGGCAGTTAGAACACTATGCTGATAATAAATGAGTTTCTGTGGTTTACATCAACAGGAAGTTAGTGCTGCTTTAAGGAGGACGTGTTGGTCTCCCTCTTTACTGCTGAACTGTCCCTGCAGATGATGCTCATCAGGAGGAGAGAAGCAAACGGTCGGTGCTGCATCCGGCAGGCTAAACCCAAACAACAGGTCGGTGTAACGGTTCAGGCTCAGAGCGTCTGACATCAGTCTGGTCCCATCAAACTCCCAGCGTTCCTTCTCCACCTGCAGCAGGAAACGTCTGGACTCTACAAGGTCCGCCGTTCTGGAAGAAAACTGAAACGTTTTGGGTTTAGGTTGCCTTTAATGTAGCGACGCACAAACATTAAGCCTCCATCATGGCGGTCTCAGTAAATACCATATCTGACAGCAGAGGACGGCCGGGATGCAGTATTTGGTTAGAATATTTAGAGAGTGATGCGTTCACTGACAGAAAAACTGCTCCGGCAAATCGGCTCTGACCGCCCAGAACTAGAGATGCTAGAAGTCATCGAAACACAAGAGAGCAGCGTTTTCCAGACAAACAGCAAGCAGAGCTTATTTCTGAAAAATAAGTTACTGGATAATAAAAAAGCTTAAATCTTCATTTGACTAAAAATAAAGAAAAAAAACAAATTCTGATAGTGAAGTAAATAGTGTAAAATTAACTGGATGTTACATTTCCCGTAGAGCCTTAAGGATGATTTTATAGAATAAAATCCTCAGAGCGCCGGAGCCGCACCGAGCAGAGCGTGTTTTTATTTAGAGTTCGTTAAAGGAGACGATGCGGATGAGCGTCGGCGTAGCGTTAAAACCTCTGCCTGGAAAACAAACAGGCTGAAGCTTCTTTCTAAAACCAGCTGATGCTCATCAGGACAGAAGCAAACATGGTGGAAACCATCATGTTAAGAAGCAGATCCTGGTTGGTTCATGGAAACAATCAAACTTTGCTGTGATGGATGGTTTCTGCGTCTCATTAGCTTCCAAACACTTTCACTCAATCAGCCCAACTTCTGCTCAGACTAACATGGATCCACAGACGCTCGGCTCTCTGACGGCGTTTATTTCCTGCGTCCGGTGGGAGAACAGTCCTTCTGTTGAACTCAGACCTGGATGTGCATGAGAACCTGCTGTCGACGAGCTGCAAAGTCTTCTGGCACCGTGTCTGAAGCAGCAGAAGATGGAGAAACAGGTCAGAGGGAGAAAAAGGCTCCTGAACAGCGAAGCGGCAGAAGGTGTGATTTACCGTTACATCTGTAGCGCAGGTTGGACCAGATGATGTTCTCCTGGGAGAAGCAGAACACGCCAAGCCTTCCTCCTCTCATCGTGGTGTCGATGACCGCGCCAGAGTCCGCCACCATGTTAGTTCCATCAAAGAACTTCACCCTGAACCCCAAACCAACCAGAAAATCAGTCAGTGAATGAGCGAGTGACACTGACTGATTCATTCCCCGACTGATGGACTCACTCACTGACTCACTCACTCATTTAATCATCAGTAAGCAGTAACAGGCGAACTCAGTAGCAGAAAACAAGCGCACTCTTTCTGAGGCTGTCATTCTAATGGATGATGTGGTTGCTAGGCGACGATCTGACTCCAGATGGAGAGACTGTCTGACTGGAGCAGAAACTGGTTTACATGTGAGGAGAAGGAAGGAAGGAGATGAGAAATATCTGCAGGAAGCATCAGATCTGAGAGAAGCAGAAGTTTTCAAGTAGAAGAAATATGAAAATATCTGCGCTTGTTTTTGGCAGGAAAATCCTCCATGAAATCCAGAATCGGCTTTTTTGGATGATTGGAAACAATTCAGCTAAGTTAATTTCTAAAGCGCCATCATCATCTCTTTCCAGAGACGATTCAACCAGATCGTCCAATCAGATTAAAGATCCAGAGTTTCCATCAAACGTCAGTCATTGGCTTGCAGGATGAGCAGGTAGAGACAGCAGATATTTGCTGGTGTCGTTGACTCTTCGGCAATCCCTCACACCAAGCATGCCTGTAGCGACAGTGGAGAGGAAAAACTCCCTTTGAACAGGAAGAAAACCTCCAGCAGAACCAGGCTCAGAGTGAGCGGCCATCTGCTGAGGCCGATGTAAGCCTGAATCTAAACTGAAGGACTGACTGATGAAACATAAAACACAGGAGAGCAGAAATGAACCAAAAGAGGAGGAAGGATTCAGGTGTAAAGACAAAGACATGAAAGTAAAAAAAATAACCTGATCAAAGAGGAAAGAAAAAAAACAGTTGTGGAGATAAAATCTCTTCCAGACAGACAGAAAACAGCATGTTGTGCTTCACAGACTTCAGCTACTCTTAACTAATGACTGTCGTTTCTGGATCCATTTTAAACGTGATTCCGATGATTTGAGAGAAACTCCTTCAGGGATGAAATTATCTCACAGGGCGGCGTTCGGACCGACGGGTTTCCTCTCATAAACTCTTCCAGTGTTTCGCTCCGTCTCTGCGTCTGATCTGCATATGAACGGCTGCCGAGGCAGATTCCTGCCAGGGCTTTGGTCGTCATGGCGATGAGCACAATGGAGAGCTGGGGGGCCCCGGGGCCACAAAGAAGGTTCAGAGGGGAAAGAATGCAGTTTAAAGAAAAAGGAGAAAAGAGACGAATAACGGACAGACATCTGCAGGCTGGAAGAGTTCAACCAGTTCCTGCCTTACTGTAGACCTCTGTAGTACAGTACTAGACTCAGTACTACACACAGTACTACAGAGTACTACAGAGTACTGTGGTGTCTGTAGAACTCTGTACTGCCGTGTTGCCAGAACAGCAGCAACCCAAACTGCTCAAAGAGCCAAACTGGACCAAAAAAACAAAAAAATAAATCTATCTGGAGCCGCAAAACTGTAAAAGTTTTCAATCAGCCTCTAAATGTTTTATCCTACTATAGAAAAGGAATAAATGGGCTTAAATATATAATAAACATTAATGGTTAAATGTTTATTTTGGAGCAAATGTCACATAGTAGCAGGAAGGTGGGGAGGAGCAGTGAACGCTCTCACTGCTCGCTGCTTCACCGCACGGTTTAACTTTTGTTGCATTGATGAAATAATAGAAACAGGATAAAGGAATGTTTCTGTGGCGGACGTGTTTCTGTTGGGAGGAGCTGATGGAGTCATGAGGAACCAAGCAGGAAGTGACATCATCAGAGCAGAGCTCTCTAACCCTGAAATCCCTCATCCTCCGTCACCAGCGCTCCTTCATCTTATTTTTAGGATTTGGGGAAATAAAATGTTAGAAAGTTCCCATCCCTGCATCAGAGCGCTACCTGTTAGATCTATGAACGGTTTTCTATGCTTGCAACCAAACTAGCAGCAGTAGTGGAGTTTGGAGATGCAATCTACTTCCTTAATCTATCTTTGCTCTCCTCTAATTTATCCAGAAGTTCTGAAATCAAAATGTTTTATTATTTTATAACCTCTCATTCAAAGCAGACATGCAGGCGATCCTTCCTGATTGGTAATAAAAGCAGATAATTCGCTCCTTTCTTCTCTGAATCCTCTTTCCTCATCAGCTTTCTTCCTTTTTTTCCCTTTCAGATCCACCGTCTGAGACGCACCCGCCGCTTTGTTTACATCAGCCTCCTGCCTGGCGCCGCGCCGCTGAAACCTGCTGCAGGCGGTGACCACTGATCTCTATGGCTATGACTCATTTTAATTGGAAGAAATGTTTATATTTATTGTTTAACTTTATTTATTATAGAAAAAAATATAGAATTGGAAAACTTAATGTTTTTTCTTGACCTCCTGCACACCATATAAAAAATAAAATAAAAATCAATTTACATAAATTTTTGAAAAAGTTCAAGGGAACCACAAGGGGAGAGCTGCAGGTTACCGACCCCTGACCTACAGGAACGCTTTAGCTGAAGTAAACGATGTGAAAATAGGAAAATCTTTAGCTTCTGGGCTTATTTTAACCAGCAGTGAGTCGTCATCATCGCAGCTCTGTAGAACCGCCTTACTTCAGACACTTTGGAGGTTTCAGGTCAGCATCTAGTCCAGACTTTAGGTCACCTCAAAGCTTTTGGGTTTTTTTCACCATCCAGAAGTGAACATGTTGGTTAAAGTCTCTGACTTCCTATCAGGCACTGCAGGGTTTCAGCAGGAGGATCTCTACACGGTTTATGGTCCAAGAAGAGCAGAACCGTGTCATTGAAGAACCGTGTCATTGAAGAACCGTGTCATTGCCATGGCGTGAGATTTAATCTTTTGATCCTCATCCCCCCCCGTGTTCTCAGTCCTCTAACCAAAGCGAAGCTCCTTCAATGGCTGCAGCCTCAGGAACCTTCCTTTCCATTTATGTTTTTAACACCGTGTCTCTCAGACAGGTTGTCACTACCCGATCCGTCCCGGAAGTTCGATCCGTTCTAGGTATGCGCCATTAGAGCATCCAGATATACATCTGTACCGATCTGTACTGGAATCAGGATGCTACGCTACTTCCACGAGCTAACTTTATCAGCTTTGCGTTTAAACATACATCTAGTCTTTTTGAGTTTTATGTTTTCCTTTCATGTTAACATTATGCTATATAGTGCGTAATCTACAGAAAGAAACAACTAGAATGCAGATAAACATGGTTTAATCAGATTTACTGCTCTGATCGTGTCCCATGATTACGTCAGAGAAGCTGTTTAACAGAGAAAATGGAAAAAGCATCAAAATTGTCTCAGAAAAGTCATAAAACTTTTTTTTAAAGATGTGTTTTAGCATTCTTTAGTGAGTTAAGGATAGAAATAAGTGATTTTAGTGCTATAATTACAAAATGTATGGAAACCCGGATATATGTCTTTCCGCGCATACAAAGGAGGGATCGTGCTCCCGGGACGGATCGTGCTTCCGGCACGGATCGGGTAGGGACACGGAAATTATCTTATTGATCCTTATTCAATAAACAGAATTTAAATTCAATTAAATTCATTACACTTATTTAAAGTTTTTTTTTAGTGCAGATCTGGTTTTGACTAAACACAGCTGTGTAGAAATGTGGTTAATTCCATTTTGTTCCAGGATTTAAGGAGGTAAATAGTTTTTCACAAAGACTCATTTTAAAGCCTTTAGGTTAATAAAGGAGATCAGATTTTCCCTCTATGGTTGTTAGATGTCCTGAGTGATTTAGATGAGACCAGAAAGCAGCAACAGAAAACATCTTTAGGGGTAAAATCCTTTTTAGCAGATCAGTTTTGTGTATCTTCGTGGCTCGCCGTAGATATTATAAGTTTTTTCTTGAACGACGTTGTCCGTCTCACCTGATGTATCCCACCTGCGGCCGGTGGCTCAGCTGCCAGCGGTACGAGGTTCTGTCCTTCCAGCCGATGTTTCGGGGGTCCTTCCAGAGCATCTTCACCTCTCCAGGTGTGTCCCCAGTGTGCCACAGAGCGTTCCTCAGGTACTCGCCCGGCCCGGTTCGGGACTTCACAGCCTACAGGACACAAGAGGGAAAAGTTCAATCAAGCGTTTTCTGATAATGGAAAAAGTTCAGAGTTTATCGAGTCGACATTGTATATAATCGCAGTTAGTTTATAATTATTTGCTGAGATGTATTAGTGTGTTAACTGAAGCTCAGACACAAACACTGTAGCCATGGTAACACAACAATAAATAACAATAGAGCAGAAACTGAATAAGAAAAGCTCAGACTGAATCAGTTTTCATGGAGTTTAAAATGAACTGAATTAGTTTTAATGAATTTACTAAATGGAAGCTAAAATAATTGCTTTGTAAATGTATGATGTGTTAAAAATTCAGTTTATTTTATTATTATTGCTGATGAAGATTCTCAGTCATCCAGGTCAGAGTCAATCCACTGGACTTTGTTTCCTAATTTGATGCGTTTCTCTTCCATCCAGGAAACTTTTTCAATTCCAAATGTCAGAAATAGCGTTTAGTTGCTTTATTATCATTATTTATTTGCCACAGAGTAATCAAACACAGATTCACAGATTTCTGTTTTCCTAACCCTGTCTGCAGCGGCCAGTGCTAAAGTTAGCAAGTCTGCAGCGACCAGTGCTAACGTTAGCCCGTCTGCAGCGGCCAGTGCTAACGTTAGCCCGTCTGCAGCGGCCAGTGCTAACGTTAGTCCGTCTGCAGCGACCAGTGCTAACGTTAGTCCGACTGCAGCGACCAGTGCTAAAGTTAGTCCGACTGCAGCGACCAGTGCTAAAGTTAGCAAGTCTGCAGCGACCAGTGCTAACGTTAGTCCGACTGCAGCGACCAGTGCTAAAGTTAGCAAGTCTGCAGCGACCAGTGCTAACGTTAGCCCGTCTGCAGCGGCCAGTGCTAACGTTAGTCCGTCTGCAGCGACCAGTGGTAACGTTAGTCCGACTGCAGCGACCAGTGCTAAAGTTAGCCCGTCTGCAGCGGCCAGTGCTAACGTTAGTCCGTCTGCAGCGACCAGTGCTAACGTTAGTCCGACTGCAGCGACCAGTGCTAAAGTTAGCAAGTCTGCAGCGACCAGTGCTAACGTTAGCCCGTCTGCAGCGGCCAGTGCTAACGTTAGCACGTCTGCAGCGGCCAGTGCTAACGTTAGTCCGTCTGCAGCGACCAGTGCTAACGTTAGTCCGACTGCAGCGACCAGTGCTAACGTTAGTCCGACTGCAGCGACCAGTGCTAACGTTAGCCCGTCTGCAGCGGCCAGTGCTAACGTTAGTCCGTCTGCAGCGACCAGTGCTAACGTTAGTCCGACTGCAGCGACCAGTGCTAAAGTTAGCAAGTCTGCAGCGACCAGTGCTAACGTTAGCCCGTCTGCAGCGGCCAGTGCTAACGTTAGCACGTCTGCAGCGACCAGTGCTAACGTTAGCCCGTCTGTAGCGACCAGTGCTAACGTTAGCCCGTCTGCAGCAACCAGTGCTAATGTTAGCACGTCTGCAGCGGCCAGTGCTAACGTTAGCACGTCTGCAGCGACCAGTGCTAACGTTAGCCCGTCTGAAGCGACCAGTGCTATCGTTAGCACGTCTGCAGCGACCAGTGCTAACGTTAGCCCGTCTGCAGCGGCCAGGGCTAACGTTAGCCCGTCTGCAGCGGCCAGGGCTAACGTTAGCCCGTCTGCAGCGGCCAGGGCTAACGTTAGCCCGTCTGCAGCGGCCAGGGCTAACGTTAGCCCGTCTGCAGCGGCCAGGGCTACTGTTAGCCCGTCTGTCTGTTCATTTTATTTGTGTTTATCTGACTGTGTTCATTATTATTCCTCCACTAAATGAAAAAAGTCAGAATCTATTATTATCTAGAGACGATTAATAACAGGAAGTGAAATGCAGCTCCGGACTAGCTTTGAATGTGGTGATGTCATCAGTATGCTTCTGCTCCAGTTGACCCATATCTATGGTGTGTGCTCCCGTTCTTCCCGAGTCCAGACTTTCCTGGGTTCTTCTCTAGAACATGCTTGTTTTTTTAACGAGTCTGTACTCGCGTTCTAGTGAATTGAGAAACATACCCATATATAAGAGGCATCATGTTAAACTAGGATGGGCTAACTAAAATGTGCTAAGCTATGCTACCATTAGCTATTAGCTAAAAAAGCTAGATTAGCCTAAATTGCCATCAGCGTTACATGCTAATGTTTCCCCATTGATATGTTTGATGAGACGAATAAAAAAATCAGCCATCTAGGGCTTTCTGTGATGAACAGAGGAAAGAAGAACCAACAGGAACCTTGAGCTGCAGGGCGGGCTGGGCCGTGGCCCTGAAGGGGAGGGACTGCCAGTACGCCTGCTCCGTCTGCTTCCACATCACCACGTAGAAGCTGGAGGAGTCCTGGTAGCCAAAGATGAAGCCGGCGTAGTCGTCGTCCGTCACCGTGTTGACGTGGAATGTTCCCTCAAAGTCGACGCCATTAAACGCCGTGTAACCTGCAGGAGCATAAAGGAGAAGGGTGCAGGTTACAGGTGGATCAGAGGCGGAGAAGGTTCTAAACTTAGTGAAGGTAAACATACCAACAGCTAAACCAGGATCACTGTTCATGGTCTGAACGATCTCCATGCCCTGACAGTGGGAACAAAAGGAACAGCTGATTATCAAGTTAGATGTTTCTGATCCGCCTCAAAGGTTCAGGAAGGAAAACGGAACCGAAGCCAGAAGCTGAGTTTGATCCCAGCAACATCTGATCCTGATCTAAGACGGAAGAATGAAGACAGTTTCCCTCAAAACCCGAAAAACTTTCTATTCTGACGTTTTTGCTGATGCTAACAGTCATTAATCTAGAAAGTTCTCCTTGAAGCTTCAACCATCAACAGCTGGATTTAGCAAAGTTACATCCCTGCTGCTTTCATACAGCGAGACCTTCAGCTAGATCCTGATCTTCATCTGTGTCTGTGCATCATCTTCATCACCTCTTTAAAACCACTGGTCTGTGGAAGACGGCAGCCATGACCACCGAGCAGCAACTGTTGCTGGGAAAGGTCAGGAGGTCATCTCCAAACCAGCGTTCTGCAGAGGCGAGCATTCAGGGATCAGTCCAAGGTCAGAGCGCGGAGCTCAGAGCAATAAGCACAAACTCATGACCTCCACCTCAAGCTGGGCGTAACGAGGGCCGATCAGCCTCTAACGACCGCCTCCCCATCAGGAATCAGAAGGTCGGGAGAAAATCAAACATGTTTGAAATTCAGTCGGCCGTCGTAAGGTGGTGGTGGGTAAATCCTGCTGCAGAACCTCAAACACTGAGCGTGTTGGAACAGGGGAGTTCTTCTTCCAGATTGACCGACCAGCGCCATCTCTCGGAGCCGAGTCCGACATGCAGGCTTTAGACGTACAGTGTGAGCAGGTAGATCGCATCAGAGCGTTGGGTCGTCAGTGTGAGAACAAACATCCTGAGCTGTGTACTTTTAAACCCTGCAGTTTCATTGTACAGCGATTGAAAAAATCGTACAATATGCCCTGCTTTAGACTCTACAGGCCTCAGGGTTAAAGGTCATGACCCTGAAGCAGTCAGACTGTTTGGGAGACTTGAGGGAGAAAGGTTGAGTCTGAGAACAGCAGACTGTAGCTCCTCCCTCCTGACCTTTATCCTGAGTCGGTCTCCTGCGCCGTCAGAACAGGAAGTTTATTTTATCCAGAGCCTTCAGGAAAAGCACGTAGCACGGATCTGCCGCCAGATTTTAGAAGAAGAAGAAATGTTTTTGCAAGGTGAGATCTCACTGAAATCTGCCTATTCCCCAATAAAAAAAAAAACAAGAAAAACGTGTTTTGTCATAATTTTTGGTGATTTTCTTTTAATTATTGCACATGTTTTCTTACAGATGTACGTTTTAATGTGACTCCTGCTGGAACTTAACCTGAAGTTAAAGGCTGCGTCATGCTGTCAAATCTGCTGTTTCAACGACGCAAACACTTCCAAGAACATAAAATAAATAGACATTGAAAGTCTGTTTCATGTCGACTGTTTTCTCTGATGTTGTGGGAAAAAAAAACTGTAGTTATTTCCTATTGTGTTTCTAGGTATTCACTAATTCACTATGAGAACAGGCAGCTAAGTTAATCTGAATTTACAGCCTCTACTGATAGTGTTGGGCACGTTACTTTGAAAAAGTAATTAGTTATAGTTACTTCTCCCAAAAAGTAACTGAGTTACTAACTGAGTTACTCCACAATAAAAGTAACTAGTTACTAGTAAAAGTAACTATTGCGTTACTTTTGCGTTTCTCGCCCCCGTAAACCTCCCCACTCGGCCCCCACCTTCTCGCCGTGTGTTTCCAAAGCCAGCTGAATAGAGCGGACGACAAAGACAAGAACCTGCAGAGAGTTTAGCATTTATTGCAACTCAACGTAAATGACATCAGGGGGGAACGCCATGGGAAGTTTTTTAACAGGGCGTTCAGATCTGGTGAGTATATGAAATTAATAACTGGGGATGTCTAATTCTGAAATCCTGTGTGTTTGGGTTGTTATAGATGCTGCAACATCTATCTATCATCTATCTATCTAGATCTATACTCTGTGTGTGACATAAAATATGGATCTCCATTCCTGCCACAAAGGCCATCAAATAATGTTTAAAATAAAAAATACAGTAGGTTGAAAAGGCAGAGTATCCATCCATCCATCCCGATTTCTCCCTTTCTCCATATAGGCTATCATTTCTGGCTGTTATCAGGTTAATCATTTGATCGATCACGCTCTCCATAGTTCTCCCTTGGCGCGAGCACAGGGCGACTGTTGCGCGCCTTTAGCGAGCATGCGCGTTTCCTGTCGCTTGCGCGGTGACTCGTGACGCCTGCGCTGTGCGGAGATGCAGAGGAAACCGTTATGTGATGGGGAAACACGGTATTTCCATCAGGAAAACACTGTTTTGCTGCTGGAGTCATCCTCACTCTCCATCTCTCTGTGTGTGCTGTACGTTAACACCCACCAGCAGAAACACCCACCTACCCAACTGACAGACGGAATCTCACTATACATCAGCCATTCTCATCCTCCCCTCTCTCATGACAAGGCGCGCACCTCTGGATGACCTAAAAAATAATCTTTAATATCTCTTAGACAAAAGTAGCACAAACAATATTTTTTTCAGCACAAATCTTCACTAACGTTGCACTAACCATTCAGTCTATTTGCAGAGTTTTTTGACGTGGGTGGGGTGTCAGCTTCACGCAGCTGCGCACGAGTCCTATCATGAAAAAAGGTTCATTATGTGACCTGAGTAACGCGCAGTAACGGGGTGTCTGCAATGGTAACTGCGTTATAGTTACAGTCAAAGTAATTAGTTAGATTACTCGTTACTAAAACAAAGTAACGGCGTTAGTAACGCCGTTACTTTCAACGCCGTTAGTCCCATTACTGTCTACTGGATAATAGCCCAACAGCAAAGATAAGAACAGCACAAACGATACTAAAACAATAAAGAATATAGAATATAATACTGGCAACCTTATCCAATTGAACTGGAAAGAGATCATATATACATAATTAAAAATATGAATAGACAAAAACATTTCTATAGTAAAGACCCAGGAAATAAACACAGAAAAAAATGTATTTTAATAAAAATATTTCTGGTATAGTGGCTTTTAATTGACTTTGCTTTCACTTTGAAAGGCTCTGAATTAGCTTCCGGTTCCAACGGCGCAGGTCTGCAGATAGACTCTCTTGCCTGATTTGGGCTCATTTTGGAGCCACAGAACTGAATCTGAGGATTCGCGATTCCTCAGATTCTTTGACCTCACAATCATGTGATTGTGAGGTCAATGAATCCAAATGTCCATCAGCTGAGTTTGATCCAAACTGGAACAGCAGAGCAGGAGAACACAGAAGAAGAGAAGAACCTCCTGCAGAGGTCTGGTTAAAGTCCAGACCTGCTGCGGGGGTTTCTACAGGAAGCTGAAGGGGGCGGAGCTTCTCTGTACATGGACGGTTGTGGTTCCTTCATCATTAAACGCAGACACACGTTTATTTACCTCCGCTTCTTCCGAACAGGAAGACGACCAGCGGTTCTGTTCTGAGATCACCTTTGAGACGATCCATACCTGGTTCAGAACCACCCAGTTGGGGTCGATCTGAGCGTCGCCTTCCGGGTCCAGGATCACCGTCTGATAGGCTCTGAAATCCGTCAGCGTGACCTCGGCGCTTTCTGGACACACATCGATCAGGTCCATCACCGCGTCGTTGTCAAAGTCGTTCTCACAGACGTCTCCGACTCCGTTAGCTGAGGACAAAGACGACACAGACGGGTCCAGACTGAGTCCGGTTCAGGTCAGGGTTCACATGGGGAAAGTAAAGATGAGGGTTATGGACAGAAACCAGGCGCATCAGAAACACTCAAACCGACATCCGTCAAGTTTCAGGACTAAACATTTTTCTTTTCTCATTCTTGTTCTTTTTAATATTTTATCGCCTCTTATAAACCAGGAGAATTTCTTTTCTCTGACAGACTGGATGGGTTCTGGTTCTGGTTCTGCTCGGTACCATCAGAGTCTTTCTGGTTGGGGTTGATGATCAGTCTGCAGTTGTCGTAGTCGTCAATGACGCCGTCGTTGTCGTCGTCGTGGTCGCAGTCGTCCCCGAGGCCATCGTTGTCTGAGTCCAGCTGGGAGCTGTTGGGAATATCGGGACAGTTGTCTCTGCTGTCCTGGTGGCCGTCTCCGTCCCTGCGGGGACAGAAGGAGAAGAGGTGCAGCTCTTCATGTTTCTTCCACGCTGATTGGACGACAGCAGAGCAGGGCGTTTGTGTTTCTGAGCCCTGAATATTTACTGATCTTGTGGGGACCAGCTGAAGCTAAACATCACTGTGGTTCAGATGTGTGTTTGTCAGACATACGTGTCCTGGTTGGTGTCACAGACGTCTCCCACCAGGTCGTTGTCCACGTCCGTCTGCAGGAGAGGAGACGATTGTTTGATCGGATCTCTGAGCAGAACTTATTGACCCAATAATGATCTATGAACGGCTACGGTTCCGTCTGGGAACCTCTGTGTTTTAAGGACCAATTCTCATTCTGATCTTTAGCATGGCTATCGTGTCGGGACGATGCAGTTGGCTCAAACAAATCTAACGGCTGCAGAGCTCCCTTCCCCAAGACAATGTCCACAAGACACTCCTACAGGGATGCAGTCCTACCCCCAAAGTGTATGAGGACAAAACAACACGAAGGTCAGATGATTTCTTTCTCTTTCCATGAGGCCTTCCTGTGTTTCACATCGGAAAGGAAGCCAAACCGACTTTACCCAACATTTTTATGAGTTTCAGGAAGTCAAAAGTCGTGGCGTCTAGCTGATCCTAAACCTCTGACTAACTTCTGCGTAACTTATCCAGAGCTTCTCTCCAACATATCAGTGTATCCGCCGTGTTCCAGACGAGCGCTGAACGTGTTTCTAACTTCCAGCTACTGTATAATGGCGTATTGGCAGCGTTTTGGTATAAAGGGGGTTCACAGGAGGAAACCGTCAGTTCTCCTCCAGACTTCATCCCCATCATAGGGGGAGCCAGAAGGTGAGTGATGGATCCTCCCTGCGTTCACGCCCACCACCAACACACTTCCTAGCAGACATGACGCTCAATCTGCTGACACCAGAAACCTTTCTTTTTCTTTAATTTTTTTGTTTGGTGGGCGGTAAACAGCAGCTAGGTTAATACCGCAATCAAAGAAATCTTTTTATGCAGGCCGGGTGCATCTCTGCCCCCCTCAGGACTCTGTGCATCGCTTCCTGGGCATCACGATGTCGTCCGTTATGCAGAAGTTAGGCTGTCGTTGGACAGAAGTTCTGGACTCGTTATGAATCCTCTATCTATTCGCCCAGAATAGAAAAAATCCATAGAAAGTTCAGCGTCTGGCAGCGTTTAGGAGATTCTGGGACATCATGCAGATAGGCTGGATAGATCGGCAAGGTTTGACAGCGGCTTAATGCTAAATGCTGGAAGAAGCTCAAGCCTTCCACATGCAGATCAGCAGAGGTTTGTAGGTACGGCACATTTAGCGACAGATGTTCCAGATGAACAAAATCTCTTTTTGATGATTTTTTTCTGTTCATTAAAGACAAAGCTAACAAGATTGGCCACATGGTATGCTATGCTAACACATCTGAGCTGTTGTTTATAAAGATAGAAAAAGCTTTATTTCACTAAGGATTTAAACACTGATAAAAATATCCATGCATTCTCTCATATACTCACTATATTTGAATGACCAAATTCTGACCCAAAGTAATTAATTGGGAATCCTCATGTCCGCTAGCTGCTAGCTTACCCGCGGAAGGTAGACTAAAAGGTTTCTGATTAAACAAATATTTAATGGAAATGTTCATTTAATGTCTGAAAAGCTGTAATAAACAACATTTTGTTTTGTATACTCTATATAGAAAATGACAATAAAAGTTGTCTAAGAGTCTAATGAGATATTATTCGGCAAAATAATGTTTTATTCACATCAAAGATTTGCATTGTGTCACAGTTGGTTCTGTTAAGTTTTCATTTGAGTATTCAGTTTTATTTGGCTCCATGTTTTCTAGTTTTATTGGTTTAATTCCTATTTTGTTGTGTTTTCTGGATATATCTGAGTTCTTAGGTATTTCTTGGTTGCCCTCTGTTGCCCCCTTGTGTTGGTCTCCTTTTCCCCAGCTCCTTTCTAGAAGCCGCTGTTCACACCTGCTCCCAATCAGCTCATTAGTCCGCAACTGTTCAGTCAGCCATAAATACTCTCCCTGTGCCGTTCCTCAGTGCTGGTTCCTTGTCTTTCCTTCGCTCCTCATGGTCGTTTCCCTGATTTCTCCATCTTTCTGGTCTGTTTTACATTTTTATGTTGGATTTTCGGTTTCCTGCTTCAGTTGCTTGTGAAGATTCATTTAAATCTTCAAGAACTCACCTCTACCTCCCTGCCTCTGAATTTGGGTCCTCAAAACCTCAACCAAACCCTGACAACATCGCTAATATGTTTTAAAACATTCAACTCACTCTAAATGAGTTAAAAGTTCATTTGATGACCTCACAAATTCATCAAGATAAACTTTGGTTCTCAAACATAAAATCCATGTCAATGTTTGGTGGAGGTTTACTGAAGACCCAAATACAAGATCCAGAGGCGAACATGCGGAAAATATCGAAAATACTGAAAACCAAAACCAGATGATTCGAGGGAGAAACACGCAGGGAGCCGAGTAACAACAAAACAAGAAGAAACCAGCAGTGAGGAACTGCAGAGGTGGTGTATATATGGGTAACGGAACAAAGGAGCAGGAGTGGACAGAAGTAACCTGAAGGAAGCCAAGAGAAAAGGAAACAGGCACTAGGGGGCGACAGAGAGTAACTCAGGAAATAAAAAAACTGAAAGAAAACAACTACAAAGACACAAAATTACAAAGAAACTGAAAATAAATCCGAACAGAACCCTGACAATCCAGGTAAACTATCATTGCATCATTTGACTCATTATGGTTTACAACTATTTAGATTTGTTTCTTTGTGTACATAGTAGTTTAGTTGGGTTTCATTACTTTAGTCAAACATTTAAAGCAAATATGTTTGACTTGGAGCTGAATGATTTTTGTTAATAAATTCTTATACTTTGAATGGAAAATGTGGTGAATTAATTTTTTTGTTCATTTATTGTTCAAACTCACAAACAATATATGACATTTCAAATTATATCTAAATTAATAACATTTACCACCAGTACCGGGGTGGGTAATAAATACGTATATTAAAGTGGCACAACACCTGCATGGGGTTGCTGAGTTCAGGGCAGCTGTCGCAGGCGTCTCCAACGCCGTCTCGGTCTCTATCGGTCTGCATGGGGTTGGGAACCTTGGGACAGTTATCCAGAACGTTGGGAATGCCTGAACACAGACAGAGACACTGAGCAGACAGCACGCCTTAAACCCACTCGTCTGAACAGAAAGACCAGGGCTGATCTTTTCTATTAAAGGGGTTTCAGAAGATCCAAACCAACCAGTCCAGACTGGATGCAGCATCACAGAAGCCAGGAAACCTCTGGATCATCTGTATGTGTGAGCGCTGGTGTAAAGGTCAGGGGGATTTTATGGCCCAATCCCAAAGAGCTCCCTAAGAACTAACCCTTCACTATCGACAAACACTCCCAATAAAGTCTCACTCACAGCTGTGGAAGGTGCCTTGATTCAAGGTGGGGGGGTATAAAAGAGAATGGGACAGCCTCCAACGGAAAAGGGATGCAGTTATTGCTATGGCAACACAGTGTTGTCCCATCTGCGTGGCTGTAGAACATGCAATCAACCATTTGACCCTATATTGAAAAAAGGTGAAAGGTTGAAAGAGGACCTTCCATTTTTGAATTAACTATGTTGTTTTATTTTTCTAACAAATCAGTGGAAGTTACCGGCACACGTTTCCTCCGCCGCTAGGTGGCCGTTACACCCGCTGCCAAACTCCTGCCAGTTTGCACTGATGCAGCCTTGCTATTTCAGGGCTGAACGGCCCACTCGCCCTACCCCCTACGTGGTTTGGGACGGCCCTTAACGTGGCGGCGCTTCCACGGAACGCAGAGAGGGTTAGGGACCAGTTTGGGATTGGGCCGACTCATAACCCTGTTACCACTGACTGTGGTTCTGATCCCAGTTTGGATCTGATGAACTATAGGCCTTGTTCCCTTACATCAGACTGGGAGCAGAAGAAGAGTTTGAATGGCTCAGATTTGTTTATGCAAAATCAGAAACCAATTCTTTAGCTTTTAAGGTGAATTTCAATCAATTCAAACAGTATTTCTTAAAAAACGTGTAACAAATATGTTTTTAAACTGTATTTTATGTTGTTTCAGTATCCAGTTTGACTGTTTTTAATGTTTAGTATTAGATTTTTAATTTTGGTTCTAAAATTCTGCTAAGGTTTGCAGCTAAGCTCTCAGGTTTGTATTAAATTAGAAGTCTATAGGAAATCCACTCACACAGACCAATATCTTCTTTTTGACTCACGCCACCCACTGGAACACAAACTTTCAGTCATCAGAACCTTCCAACATCATGCTGAGCTTTGCCTACTAAAACAGAAGGGAAGCACAAAGAACAGAAACATCAAATATTCTCTCCAAACCTGTGGATACCCAAACTGGCCGTTTGTCAAATCAGCAGGATTTAAACGCAAAAACATATCTAATCCAGATGTTGCTGGATTCTCTGAAAAACTCAAGAGGATTTTCTCCAAAAACTAAATCCCAGAACATTTCAAACCAAGCAGACTTAAACAGAGACTAGTTCATCCTAAAGACAAAACCCCTGGAGTGGTGTCTGCAGTTCAATGCAGAGAGGAATGCTCTGATCTTTATATTGGCCTAACACAGAAGAGCGCCCTCCTCTGGACAAGACTCTGCGCTACATCTACACCTGATGGACAAAGGACATTCTTTGGAGGACCAGAATGTTCACACTTTGGACAAAGAAGACAGGTGGTTTGAGAGGAAGGAAGCCATCTATGTTAGGAAAGAAAAACCAACCTTAAACGGGGGTGGGGGGTATTTAAGGTTTCAAAAACCAACAATTCCCCCTAATGCCCCCCCTTTCAGATGCATAGACCAGTATTAGGTATTGCAAGCTTACAAAGACCTCAACGACTCTGAAACTAGTATCCCTGCATGTCTCTGACTATCCGGCCAGTAGGGGGTGCTGTCCATCCAATGGCTGCTACTCTGAACACTAGGAGCCAGTTTGCTAAGGGCTGCTGCTGGTTGGAGGAATAAGGGGAACACTGTGTGCAGCGCTAGTTAGCCTATCGTTTGTCTACCCGACCCTAATATGCATGAAGTCAATTTAACACCTGAGAGTATTTGCTGCTGATCATTTGTCATGAAAATGAACATCCACCAGGTTCCTATTGGCTTCATGTCTCCAG